AACTGCTAAAATATTCACTGATTTTTTGGCAAACATACAGTTGCCATACACATAATACCTGTTCCTTGAACAAAATGTTCGGATAATGGTGATTTTTTATTTTCTGTTCATAATCCACCAATGAAACACATCTCAGCTCCAAAGGTCTGCTCAGAGCAGACAGCATTGACTGACAGACACCCCAACACTAAACACAAAACTGAGAGTAGATCTGTCTGCATTTTAATCCTCTTTGGTGTTTTGATTCCCTAAGAAGCAAGAACACTCATATGAGCAAGTCATAGTTAAGTCACAGTTAACGTCCACAGTTTTAACCATCGAAGCAGCATAACTTCATATTAACTCAAATTTTTACGCCCAGATCCCTAAATACTGTGGAACACCAGATAAACACAAAGAAGTATTCCCTTTTGAAGGGGAGATGAATCTTTCATGAAACCAGCTCTTTCTCTGCAGCATTTCTCAACTCTCAATGCTTCCCAGTACTAGTGTAAAGCAAAGCAGGAGCTTCAATCCCACCAACCCAAACGTTACCTTCTCCATCACCCAGAGGCAACCATTATTGCTTATCAAAGTTCCCAGCACAGTGATATTTCTAAAGCTTTAAGGGACATCCAAGACTTAAAAATACAACATGCAACCTTCAACAAGAATATGATGGATTCTTATTTTAACATTTATGAAACCTAAACACCTTCCCACCAGCCTAGAGCAAACATATCTATCACCAATCACATGAGGACTGGCTGAGTGTGAGAATTTAAAATCCTAGGTTAGACAAAACGACTGTGACCTGACATTCATCCTTCACCTAAGCCCATCATACCCAAATACATATTCATTCTGAAGTGGGCTCATTCCTGAAAAAGTCCCCACAATACAGTGCTTTAAGGAGCAATTTCAAGGAATTACGCTATATTTGGAATCCCAAAAATGTAAAAATATGTTAAGAAGAATATAAATATATTAGTTTCAAAAAAAAAAAAAAAAAAAAAGAAATACAGCACACAAAGATATATGTACAGTCCCGCATACATACAAGCATTTAACATAATAAGAAAATTGTAAAAGGGTGTTCTTTTCTTTTTTTCACAAGCCAAGCTGCAACTATCTATTAATGTAGACCCTAATCTCTCCCTTCCCTGATATCTGAAATTTCTTTCAACTTTGCTGCTAGCAAGAAAAACACAGTTTAAGTATAGACAACTATGTAATTACAGCCAGGGAAAGTTGCATGGTCCACCAACTACAAAACACTACAAAACTTATGGTAATAAGAGGTCATCAGCTTAACTATTCATTTATTTAAATGTATGCCATAGTTTTCTTTTTTTTTTCCTGCTCAAATCAACAGGTTTTAATTGGGGCTTTCAAATGCAGCAGTCTATGAAAATGACAAAAAATAATGCTGGAACCAAGCAAACATGTGCCCTGAAAGCCTTTTAATCCTTGAAATCACACTGCCTTCTTGTTTGTTATTGAAGAATGTGTGTATCCCCTTCTAAATGCATTTCAGATCAGCTTAAACCTCAGCTTACAGACAAGACTCAAAAGTGTTCAGTGCACTCTTTAAAAGAGGGGAAAAAAATACAGGAAAAGAATAAATAGAAAGAAACGTGAATTTCTTTTTTCACAAGGATGATCAGGGGCCTGGAACATCTGCCCTGTGAGCAAAGGCTGAGGGAGCTGGGCCTGTTCAGCCTGGAGAAGAGGAGGCTGAGGGGGGACCTGATCAGTGTCTATAAATACCTCAAGGGAGGGAGAGAGGAGGAGGGGGCGGCCTCTTTTCAGTGGTGGCCAGCGATGGGACTAGAGGAAACGGCCACAAACTGAGGCCAACATTTCCTTCTCATCTCCAACATTTCCTTCTCAGCATCTGCACAGTGATTTGGATGTCTCCAAAATGGATTTGTTTCAAAGGACACCAGAGCAGTGGCAGTTCTCTGGGTTAACAGTGAAAATGCCCCCAGCATCTTGGTGGGAACACAGAGATTTAAATTAATGATCAGTCTTTGAAACGCACGGTTCGAAAGCTTCACTGAGGGCACAGAAAGGCACAGAAATTCCATGAAGGAGTGGAAGAAATTTATGAGTTCCAAGCACACGATTTAGGCAGTGAGCTCATGCTTTTTAGTAGCAGAGATTTAAAAAAAAGTGACTATTTGAAGGGAGACATATTTGTAAAATGCGCCCAAATTTATACTTACGTGCAAAATAGTTAAAATGATGCTGCTTATGCAACATGTCAAGTTAAGATTTGAAGATTTAAATAAGAACTTATAAAATTGAGATTTTAAAACATTTAACTTGGCCCACGTTTTAAAACATAAAACAAAATTCAGTATTATTGGAGAAAAAAATGAATTCACAGGTGTTTTGTTATTGCTCTTAAGAAGAATAAAACAGACATCAAACTAGCAAAATCTTTTACCTGCAGCTGAGCCCCAGTATCTATATGGCAAAAACTGCAAAGCAAAATCATTGCTTTCAGGCTAAGTCCCAAGGGAAGCTCCGTCCAGCCCTTAAAATTAATTCCTGCTCTTATATGACTGCCCCTGCTCTATGCCACTTATCAGACATGTTTCTTCAGTAAGGTGAAAAAACCCTCCTCGCCTTGCAGTTGCATGTGTACAATTGCGATATACAATTTTCTCATTTTAAGAGATACATACAATTTGATTGAATTTTTTTTTTTAAGTTTGATATACAAAATGACATTTTTAGCATATTTCCCCAAGTATACTTCACAGAAAGCCAAATGTCTATCCATTTAGCAATGGGACATCTAATCAAATAAATGAATCAAGTGCATCGCCTTTACACACAGTGGATGAGAGACGTTTGCAAACAATAATACATTCAAAACAATAGAATTTTCTTCAGAGATAACGGAATTATGTCTGGATTTTATCCTAATCAGCTGACATGAAGGTTAATCAGCTTCTCTCTCTCTGTTTTTTTTTTTTTTTTTTTTTTTTTAACACATCACAGTGGTATCCTTCCCTCACCTGGAAAGTTCAAAGCAAATGCTCCATAAAAAGTTTATTTTGTCTGGTGAAAATGTATACAGGAGGCTGCCAACATTCCCCAATGATCTTGCACAGGTACAAGTCTGCTAAGTTTGGAAGAGGGGAGTAGACAGAAAAGCAAAAGACTTAAAATAATTACAAATTTTGTCTGACAAATCATCAGAATTGCTTCCCCAAATTATAAGCTCAGAAATTCTCGCTCACACATAGAAGAAAAACACCAAATAAACTGGCAGCCACATGAAAGCTCCAACAGAGGTAGTTATTCATAAGGCAGGACTGGCGTGCTCCTCATGGCAACACTCAGGGCCACATTTTCAACAGGCCTACATGGGTTCCTCTGGCTCTGCCACACATGTAAAGATCCGCTTCCAAAGAGGCCGGTGGGCATTCCTGAAGAGGAGTCAGCTCTAGAGATCACTTCAAGGAGAGTCCTGCTTCCAGCATTTGTAGAAACTTTGAAAGGAGAAAGACTAGGGGCGATAAAGCAAATCATTCACAGATCACAGAGCTGACATGCTCACACTCCCTCAGGTTGCTGCTGACTGGAGGAAAGCAAAAATACCCTCTCACCTTCCTCAGATTATATCAGATTGAGAAGACCACAGTGCCATGTGGCTGGCATGTGCCTGTTCCCAGAAGTTGATGAAAAAAAATCCCTTGGGGAATACTCGTAAGGTGAGCAACATCCCTGTTGCTCACCGTATGAGTATTCCCCAAGGGATTCCCCAAGAGCATCAGCGGATGCCAAAACACTTGTTATTCTAGGAGTTAAAAGAGAAAGCAAAGACAACCACTGTCACAATCACTAGAAGTCGTATTTGCTGTCCTATAGGATGCCGAAAATTTTAAAATGGAAAAAAAGGAGGGAAAACTAATAACAGATATGGGAGTTCATGGTAAACCGCAAAGTGCTTACAATCACGACGAAACCATTCCCCTGAAGTTTTCCATTAGTATGTTGTCAGAACCCCATCCTGGCTCAGTGTGTTAACCAAAGAATAGAAGAGCAGCCTAGGAAATTCACTGGAATTTGTGTCCTGTAGCTGGTGAAGTGAAAAACTGGGCATTCCTAGCAAGGAGAACTCCCTCTTCCCCACATGTTTCAGGGAAAGATGCAGCGTTGCTAGCACAGGAGAGGACTTCGCTTAGAAAAAAACCTGCCCTTGGCATCTCAAGAGATGCTAAGAAAACTATTGATTCTGTATGTTCTTAGGGAAAGCAGCATGGATACCAGCTCTTTATCTGGTATATGGCTACAAAATTATCTGAAGCTATAAGATCCCTTGCTGTTTTATTGTCCTTGAATTTAGAATCTTTCCACGAACAGTTCCCATGAATTTCAGTAAATTCATTTGGTGACAGACTCCAACCAAAACAACTGATGTTTGAAACAAAACTCTCATATCATGCTTCTCGTACACATAATATTCCTTTAAATTTCCATGTACACATAGCTGATTCTAATTCCATTTAACTATTTGGTTAAAGAATTTTCTTACAGAGATATACAGCTAAAATTTCAATTTCTTGTCATGGAAGCTCTATATTCTCTCTGCACAGCATTTGACATCAAATATGAATGCAATGTTGAGACCAGCATAAATTCTGGAAATATTTATCTGAGGAACAAAAAGGAAGACAGTTTCAATTCCCCAGTCCACTGCCTGCTAACAGGGTTTCCTTCAGTTTTTGAAAATACTGGACGTGTGGACAAAACCCCAAGTCAATATCTACAGGTCAGAGACCTCAATAACATTACCATTCCAAAATGATTTGAATATCTTATTAATCGGATAGCTTGCTGTGTCAGACAAATGGCTGAACACCATTAGTCTAATTCTAGAAATTCATGTGCAGCCTATTTCTTAAGCCACTGCTGTAAAGGCAATGCACTACACGCAGGATGCCACGCTGACTCAGGGAAGGGTCTAGCCCAGCATATAAATGATTCCCTTTTTTCTTCCTTACCTCCAGATGCTCTAAAATATAGGGAGGGTTTGTCATGCCAAGCCTCAGCATAGCTCCCTCAGGGACAGCTTCAACCAGCTTCCACAGGAGCGTGGGGAGGTCTGTGCCAATGTCTCTGCCATAAGCCCCCGTGTCTTCACTGGTCAGCCATATCTCGCAAACACCCTCTGCGAAAAAAGGAGAGAGATAATTAACAAATCTGTTTCAGAGCTGTTTATTTTATCATACAGCTGCTCACTCTCTTTAATGCAGTATTTCACAAAGCTATTATGCAGCCAGACCGGGTATTCAATTGCAAGGGGGAGCGAGGGAGGAGGGAGGCTTATCCCAAGGGTAGCAGTGGGTTATTAAGTTCACTTTATGAGCACAAGAGTGCTACAACAATGCTGTAAATTATCATTGCTGCGGAGTGATTAACATTCACAGCCAATGACTAATTCTGCGCTCCCTCTACGGCGAGTCAGTCAAGTCTGGTGCTCTGCTCTATTTTTCAAACCTTATTTATTAAACACTGCAAGCAACGTTACCCAAGCAAAGCGTCTGCATTAATGGTCATTACTAGCAGTTAACTTATTAACCGGTAAGCTTCCAACAAGGAAAAAAATAGTCCTAAAGCACAGTGATTAACACAGTGATTAAAAACCTGTGTTCTTTAACAACACAACTAGCAATGTGGTATTAAGATTGTATTGAAAAGGTGAGTCACAACTGCATAACTAAGGGCTGGTGTTGGAAACCTTGTTTGCTGGTAGTTAATACTCCATTATCTTTTCCATCAATCAGGCCTTAGGAAATGGCATATTTCATTCGTAGGGTAAAGTGTATTGACCTTGAACACTGCAATTTGGTAATAAACGTCCTCCTGCTCAAGGAGGGGGAAGGCTGCACCACCATTTCGTAATAGCAGAGGGCAATGAGGTTCTACACATCTGCTTCCAGCAGCCTGTCCAGCTTCCATCCTTTCTGTAATGCAATCCTCCTCCTCCTCCTCCTCCTGCCACCCCGAAGCAAGGAATAAGCCACTGGAAACTGGGAAGCTGGGAGGAAGCTGCTCTGGGATTACTGGCTAGATAAGACACTATCAACTCAACGAAGAGCTGAATTCCTACTACAGATGATGAATCAATAAAACAGCCAACCACTAGAAAGGGTGATTAGAAAGGTGGAAAGAAACTTCATATCTAAAGTTTCAAAGCACTTTGCAGACCAGCAGAGAAGGACGTATCATAAAACATAAATGTTTAGACATGTATGAGATTAGGAAAACGCAAAGTACATTCAATCACACAAAGTGATAAAACTAGAGAACAAAAGCAACATGAACTCAGGACTGCTGCTCTTGCACTCGCACTGTAACAACACAGGAGGAGACCAGGCCAGCTGGAACGTCACAGCCAATTCTATTTGTTTAGAAAGGCTTTTTCAAGGTCATATTGTTTAGAATTAAACACTTTTAAGTGTTAACACTTTAAAGGCAAACCAAAAAGTGTCTCACTACTTAAGTTTTGCTTCAAGAAAAGTTTACTAAGTGATATATTGTATTTTCACAAAAGGCCCCAGCAAAAGTATTCTTGAACTAGTGCTCTTTGGTTACCAGGCTTCTAGCCGTGGCTTTGCAGGCCCCTTCAAGCAGAGCTCCCTGCTCCAGGGCCACGTCTGCAGAATTTGTTTGCACCCTGTATCCCCACTTTCATCTCCACAGCATTTGCTAATGTTTTTGGAAGTGCATCCCAGGGCACGGGCAGGCAGTAGGATGCTATAAAACTTATTCTAAAGTTTGCTGCCCATCTTATGTTTCCTGAGATATGAAAAAAGTGAATCGGGTAATAGCTGCATTCTAAAGGTAAGAAAAACATAAAGGATATAAATAATGGCTCATGTGCTGTTTTTTTTTTTTTTCCAGTTTCCAGTAGTCATCAAACACACCACACAATTAATTTACTTACTCTCTTTCAACAGAAACACAATAATTCTCCTTTATTTTTCTCTTTTTTAGCTTTTCAGTCTGAGTGGTTCCAGGCTTTTTTTCCCTGCATGGAAAGGGCTGGGGGAACACTGCCTCCCAGTTACCAGAAGAGCACGAAAGGGAAAAAGATAAATAAATCACTGCCTCGGAATGGAAATAACATTCCGGTGGAAAACAACAGTGAGCTTTTAAGGCTGCCTAGGTGGAGCCCATTAGCCCCCTGGTGGGCTGAAACTTCAAATTAAATCACATGAAGAGGAAGCAGCTGTAACAGTAAATCAGCAACAACAGGAATAACTGTCTCATCTGCTCTCCGATCAGGGTGTTGAACAACAGGCAACGGGAATAATTCACGCAGAGGGAGGCGAGGATTTGTAAGGTAGGGAAGGAAACAAAAATCGGTGTTTTCGGAGAACGTTCACTTCCCAATTCCAGGCTGACAAAACGGGCCCTCGGATCCTCAAGGCTGTTCCAAGTGCTCCCTCTTCAACAACAGGGCAAACCAAGCGCTCATCTCCGCTGCTGCAGGCCTGGCAGCGACTCAAACACAAGTTGTGCTTGTTTTTTTCTAGCCCTTTGCACTCCCAAATTAGGAGTCTTTACTTAAACTCAGAGCAGAAACAACACACTTGCAACAGCCGTCTTTAGTAGAGTGAACCAGGCAAAATTGGAAATATTATCATTTCTTACAGTTCTTACACTTCCCTTTTTTCACTTGATTCTGCCCAGCCAAACTCTAGCCCTAGGCAGGATGTTATTAAAACTCACAGTCTAATCATACACAGCAACTCTTCCATTTCTCTTGCAGGGAACACTCCTCTCTAGACCGCTCTGCACATGCTGTTACTGGATAATTCTGATTCCAGCTGATTTCCTAGCCAATAAACAGACCCCAAACTGCAAAGTTTGCACGTGCAAACTCACTGCATGTGTTGCAGGATCAAGCTCCATTAGTCTTAAACAGCAGCAAGTACAAACCAGGCTTTGATCACAGCGCTGCTACCACCTCCCCACACGCAGTAACCTCAACAGCTGGGCCCTGCTCTCTGCTCTGGCCTAACTGGAGAGGACCGAGAATGGAAAATGTTGGAAAGAAAAAAGGTTCCATGCAAATGGAAGAGGTTTTGTACCCAGCAAAACATCTCATTACAAAAATACTCATTACCAATGATCTGATATGGGTTTTATTTTTTCCTTTTCTGCAAAGGTCTAAACAGCCCTTGTCACAAAAGAAGAAATCCTCCAGCTGCCCCTTTTATGAGATATGGACAGTTTGGTTTTAGAGCCACTCAAAATGATGAATTTCTTTAATCAAAGTTTTCTACAGCTTAATATTTTGCTTCATGCCACTGTTGTAAACACAGATCTTATTAATTATGAAGGGGAATCTACTCCACTTCTCTAACTCCAATGGAAACTGTTAAAATATCAGCCCCTAGTTCTTCTGAAATTCCTTTATTTTATTAGCCTCCTGTACTTTGTGCAAATGACATTCAATTAAATTTAACTGGATATCTTTATTAAAGCTGAACCACAAAATCTAGTGAGACTGACATGGAAATAACTATTAAAATGAGGTTTTTGAGAGGAAATAAAAAGAGATTTTTGGAAAAAAAAAACCCAAAAAGTAGGTAAACACGTATTTTTAATTCTCTTCTTTTTTTTCCTTCCCTGAAAGACTTTCCAATGTGAACCAGAGGGGTTTCTCCCAGAGCGCAATTCCCTATGGGAATTGCTCCTTCAAATATTCCTTTAAATATTCCTTTTAATATTGGGGCTCCCCATTAGTTACACGGCAGAAATTTTAAAAGGGCCATCTACATATCTGGCATGCCAGAATGCTTTGCACCTTGATTCAGAAATTATGGAGATAACTGAAATACATATCGCTGTATCAACCTGGATGTAATGCTAGTCTTAACAGAAACCGAGGTCTTGGGGAATAGAATTCCTCCCATCCTTGCAGGCTGCTCTGCACACACGGCTCTCCTGGGCAGTCCGGGCCTCTTCTGAGCCCGTCAGTTCTTCCACATGGATCCCTCTTGGAAGATCCCATTGCTGGGATATCCTAAAAGATTCAGTCAAGTTGGGAATAACCACTGGTGCTAGTGGGGGTCTAGAAGGATTCATTTCTTTAAGAACACCATTAAATTCATATTTGACATGGACAAGAGGGAATGTTACAGGAGAGAAGGTAGTTACACACACACACAAATGCAAATCCTCTCCAAATGCACAATGTCTCAGGCTCAAAAAGGATGATAAATCGCAGAATATCTGACAAGTAGATGACAAAAGGAGGAAACTGAAGCAAAAAGGCCAGTTTGGGTACAGACCTGGTGAAACAGGGGAGCTGTTGAGCTGGGTACTGGCACTGCTGAGCTGTTGAGCTGGCACTCTCAAAGAAGAGGAAGACAAGTGTCCACTCTTACTTTCCTAATGCTCACCATGAGCAGAACAAGATCTGGATGGTGCCATGAAAATGGTTGATCTCTTGGAAATGCAATGGTTGCATCCCTGAAATTCCTGTTAAAGATAAGCCTAACAATAAAAAATAACGGGCTTATTCCTCACCCCCGTTCTCAACAGTTAAACTTCATGCCATGGATCACCACCCTTTAAGCCTAGCTAATTCTTTCGGCTGCCTGAAAGAATTCAACTGCACTCATCCAGTCCATGCCTCATCTATCTGTAAAAATACTACAGGAGACTACATTTAGCCTTGCTAAATACGAGGTAAAAAAGATGACCAACTAAACAGAAAAATACGACGACAACAACAAAGACAGCTTCCCTGTCATCCACATGGCCAGACATCTTGTCACAGAAGGCAGTCACGCTGCTCAGGCTCAATCTGTCCTCGGGAAATCCATGCTGTTCTCCATCACCCTCCTTCCTCAACGCGCCCTAAAGCGGCACATTGATTTTGTGCCATATTCCTCTCGGGGACCGAGGTCAAGCTGACTGCCTTGTCACTCCCTCTAGGTCCTTCTCCTTGCCCTTCTTGAAGGGTGGCATGACACTTCCCTTCCCCTGGTCACCAGGAACATCCCCAGACCTTTGCAGATCAGACAGAACAGCCTCAAAACGACACCAACCGGCTACTGCCAAGCACTGGGATCAGCCTCGCTGTAGGATAATCTCCATTACCTCTGGATGCCTGTCTGCAATCACAAAAACCGCAGCTTTGTTTCACAAGCG